ACACAGGTTAGAATAAGGGTTATATGCCCCTGAGCTGAGTTGCAAGTGTATAATCGATGCTTGACAAAATGGATGTTTCTAAATTTCTTCTGTAAACGAAAGGAACAGTGAGAAAGTGCAAACTGTCCAGATCTCATGTTTGAAAACCCGAGAGTGGTCCCTAACTTGTGATCACAAAATATCAATTTGTAGACCTATTATTACAATATTATTCATGGGTATAGAAATTATAGATCTAATTTTTCCAATTTATAATTCTAATGGTAAAGTAAGTTGCAAATATTCAAAGAAACAGTGTTCACCAATAAGAAGATGGCCTGCTTCATGCACAAGAATTCGATGTTTATATGGAGGCCAGTAACTTGAGATTGAGCCAAACATGATCCACCAAGGAATATTGAGTCTATCATGGCTAATCCCAATGTGGTTGTTAGGTTTGGCCTGATATCTATTCCTTGATTAAGCAAAAATGTAAAACCCAGGAAAAATTTAATTTTTTTTTTCTGGAAAAAGGGCAAAATGGTAATTTGTCACTATAATGCGGGTTTAAAATCTATATTTTTCTAGAGCTCAGATGATGCAACAGAGCTCATCGTTGGATTCGTATCGCAAAATTGAGCTGTCTTGTCAATTTTCGTCGAATTTTATACGTTTTACGAGACAATTGGGTGACGAATGACCTTTCAAAGGTCCCCAAAAATGAAATTTATAAAATTTTCTTATTATTGAATAAAATTTTAAATAAAATTAATAAACAAAATTTATAAAATTTCCTTATTATTGAATAAAATTTTAAATAAAATTAATTTGAACTTAATCTGAGATATAATGAATTGTTTCGGGACGAAAAACGGATCCGAAAGTCAGAATTATGCGGTGCAATTTGGACCACACATTAAGGGAGTATAAATAGGGGCAAATATCTGAAAAAATAGATATTTTCTCACCCATTTTGAGTCTTGTTTGGCCGACTATAAGAAGGAAAGAAAAGAGAAGAAAAACTTCAAGTTCTTCAAGCTTTCTACCTTGGATCTTTGAAGTTCCGTCGCTCGGATCAACTCGAACCAAGAGCTGAAGTTCATCTCTTCGACGAGAGCTACGCATACGTACCAAAAAGAGTGGGTTTCACCGAAAATCCAAGAGGAGACTTTGCAGAAAATCAAAGCTTTGAGGTTATTTTGGTGTTATAGAAGTTCTCTACACTTCTATTGAGATAGGGTTCTTCTTACCTTAGTTTTATTCCTCTCATTTGGGACTGTTTTAGGGCCGAAACTATGGACTGTTTTGGGGTTGAAATGATGGACCATTTTGGGTTAAAATATGGATTGCTATGTGGTTGTATTTTGGACTGAATTTGAGACTGTTTTATGGCATGTTTTGTGGCTGAAATATGGACTGTTATATGGCGTGATATCGAGTTACTCGGTATTCAAAGGTATTCCGCGGGTTGATGGGTAATCAACGGATTCTTGAATTTTGGGGTGTCACAGCTTGGTATCAGAGCATAGGTATACGATTTACCTAGGGCTTGATGGGCATGAGTTTAGATCATTGCATTCATTGTGCATTTCATGTTATGTGCTAAATTTTGCTACATGATTATGTGCTATGTGTTATGTGAATTGTATGCATGGTCCATGATAAGCTCCCCAAAAAGAACAGCTACTGTATAACAAATGATGTACCAGAACTACAATTAAAGGAGTTATACTGAACTATTAATCTTACTGAGAGTAATGTTAACTTTGTTAATTGATATGGTCCAATAGTATTTACTTTTGTAAGCGTTGCAACTTTTTATTACGGTCATGTTTGTAGACATACACACATTCACATACACAACACCATACTCACAACGCACACAATCGAACACACAACACACACTCACATTTGGTTATTTTGATTATTTTTGGTGTTTTCAAAATTTGGGGTTTTTTTTTTGCATAATTTGAGTGTTTTCGATAATTTGAGCAAAAAAAGGGTGATTTGGAAATTTGGGTGTTTGATACTCTAACTGTGAATCCAGTACAGTGATTTGTCTTCTTTATTTGATTAATATAACATGGTGTTTGTCCTCTCTATGTTTTTTGCTCCGATTGTGCTTTGTTGTGTTCCATGAATTTTCAAATTTCATTTCAATGGATCATTCAATTTTTATTGGATGTTTAAAAACTTAATTTCTATAACTGTCTGTTTGTTCTAATTACTCTTATCGCATATTGTAGTGAAGTTTATTGGATCAAATCAACTAGCATTAACCAAGTTGTAGACATTATGGCTTTATAAAAAGTTCTCCACCGTTATTCTTCAAGTTATCCCTCTTTTGTTATTTGTTTTTTCTGCTGTGTGAATTTGATGCAACTTTAATGGTAGATATTGCTAGCTTTGTTTAATTGTATAATGTCTTCTTATATGTACATGTTCAGGTTGGTGTTGGTTGTTATTGTGCCGGAACTGAAGCCTTGGGACATTTCTACAGGGGAATCACTCTAAGACTCACAAGAATGGAGACATTAGGATTGCATATTTTTAACCTAAGCAATTTTTTTTTTCTGGTAAAGGATGGTGAGTTCATTATCCAACATTCGTACTCATCTCTCTGATCTCATCTCCCTTTTCTCTCTCATCCCCATGATTTTCTACTTTTCTTTGTTATTTCTTTTCTCTACAACACAACACACCTCTTCCTCCACACCCACACAGATAGTACGTGCACACACACACACACAACACACAACCCGACTCACATAAAGCACACAACACAGCATACCCACACCATTCCCTTATTCTCTCTCCATTGCACCCCATTCTTTTCTTGCATCCACATGATACCTCCATCGACCTCTCTCTCTCACCCTAAAACCCCCTCCTTCAACCAGCAACCCACACCGAAATGAACAGCCACGCCCCCACACCACCAATGACGCCACATGTGACCAATGATAGCAATTCCAATTTATTGTAAGCTTCAAAAGTTGAGTTTTTTTTTAGTTTTAAAGCCCTTGAGGTTTTTGTGTTGAATTAGTGTTTCCTTTCAGTTTCTTGACTTTGATAATAAATGAGAATGTTAATCTATGTAGGTGATCGAAGAATTGATTAATGATGTTTACTGAAGGTTGCCCTGCTACATCTTAGGCTACCCATCGCTCTCTGATTTATGTATAATACACATACTGCATCTCATTTAGTTAATCTGTTGATTAATTCTTCCATTTACAATGCCTTTATATTCCTTTTTATATATGCATTTGCTTCTGAATGTTGAATTTTTAGTTTGTTTGTGGGATGTTTTTCTATAAGACTTGAGGTTGTTGATATGATAGTTCCTATTCGTTTAGAAGAATGTGTTTCTAATGATGCGTTTTTAGGGCCGATGGATTGAGTTGTTTACAACCATTGTCTGCTCTGTTATTGGTAGATACAACCTATAGTCCAATGAGGACTGAGGATGATGCATTGCTACTGTAGTTAGTTCAATTTTCTTGCTAGTTGGAATTTTTAAGTGAATAAAATTATATATTGGTGTGTTTTTTGGTGGATTGAATGCTCTGTAACATTACCATGAAGGGCTTTCTAAGGTTGGTTTTCCTTACTGCTTTGTTGTTTAAAGCTTTCAACAAATTTAGTTATGTATCGAAGTTATGGAAGGTTTTGTATCCATTTCAAGATGGCAGGTTTGATAGAAAATTGAGTAGCCAATATGTTTTCTTTTATTTTTTATTGTTTGTACACAATTTTTATTTATTCTTTTGCAATTTTTCTAATGTTTTTTAATTTAATTAGTTTCTCTTTCTGTGTGAAAAAAAAAGTTTCTCAAACCCCTATAATGAAATCCAGAAGTTGTGGTATATATTTAATTCTTTATTTCTTCTTTTGACGGTAATTGAGCATTAATATATTGAAACCCAACTTTATTTACCTTTTTAACCCACAAAGGTTTAATAATTTTTTTAGATGTAGGAATGCACACATCTACTAATTTTTTTAGGAGATTTTCGTTTATGATCTATTTTTAATGGATTGGATTCGATAGGAAATATGATGCGATTTAAATTTAAATTTATGCTAAGATTTTTTGGAGTTTGATTTGGGTGTATTAGTTTGTATTTGGATTTGAAATTATGCAATTTTTTTTGGGGCATGGGGGATGGAAGGGGGATTATGAAAAGAGGTTAAGGGACATGTTGTGCATACCATTCATTACTTCAAGTTTAGGCCTTGGTTTTGCTGAGGAAACCATGAGCCACCAGTTTTGTTCTCCTTGCTTACATGAGAGCAGTTGACTTTATGTTACCCGTTTGGTTTTGGTTTTGGTTTGTTTTTCAGTGTCTCTGCATGATTGTTTGGACGGGTTGATATTGAAATGAGAATGAATTTTGAAGATAGAATTGAATCGTGATTGTGAACTATAATGATCGTTATGTATGATTGTGAACTGTGAATTTTTTGGATCTTTGGTTGGACCTGCCTGTACAACATGTGTTTGTGGCCTTTGTTATTATGAATCGTTATTTTGGTTTGGATTGTGCAGTGACTAAAATATAATGATGTCTTTGAGTTAGTTAGATTAATTTATTCTTTGAAATTGGTTATGTAATAGTTTGTGCTGGACAATAATACGTACAATGAGATATATAAGTTCTGTACACAGTTTGAGATTTTTAGGCTCCTATCTTTAGAAGAAATTCTGCTGAAATATTTTTAAAAAATAACGAGATAAATTGATTTTAATTTCTTCAATTAAAGTAAATAAATGAAAAATTATTTTTAATGGATGAATTTTTTTAAGTTGCAAAGTGTCTTTAGGCATGGCTTATTACTAGTTTTATATATAAACGAGCTTAATTTTGCTAATTTGAGTAGAATCCTATTTTAGCCTTCTTGTCTCACTTTGTTTTTTTTTCCTTGCAAAGCAGTGCAGTGCAAGCTATAAATAGTCAAATGGCTTAAAATGGGCAGTAACCAACAAAGTCTACAAGTCAAGCTTTTCTTTTTCAGCAATGGCTTCCATTCCTCAATACTTCTCCAATGAGTTCTATGCTTTCCCTAATCCAATGCCTGGCGGAAACAACAGGGGAGGTATTGCAATGTGGAGTGAAGAATGCTTACCGCCCTTTTCCAATAATGGGATACTTAATGTGGTGCCACCAAAACCTCATGACATCGTTCCATCCATTTCAATGTCATCATTCCCTGAGCGTCTTGGCATTTTTGATATGGTTGTACCGTCATTGACGGAGCGTAATATCAATATGGGTTCATATGGCATCACGGGACCTCATGGTTTTGAGTGTAGATACCAACACGAGGTATGTGATCAATTTGGAGAGGATTCCAGTAGTGGGGTTGTGCCAAATTTCTGGCCAATTTAGTCTGTGACTGTCGACAATTGGGTATCTAATATGATCGTTTTGACTCCTGTTAAATCTCATAATGTTGCAGATGATTCATATAAATTAATTTTCATCATGCATAGTTTTGTGAAGCATTCAAATTAAGCTTCATGCAAAAGTGATTCTATTACTTGAAGTCTTAATGCATAAAAGCACTATGTATATGTATATGTATATGTACATGTAGGGAATTCAAGGTAAGCCTGCCCCAGAAGTTGAAGAACCCACACTGAAGATTGGGAAGTATTCAGTAGAAGAAAGGACGGACAAAATTCTTAGGTATCTAAAGAAACGAAACCAAAGGAATTTCAACAAAACCATCAAGGTCTATCTCTCTCTCTCACACACACACACACAATTATTCCAATGTGTTGGTTTTGCATGTGTTTATTCAATAGTCTACTTTCTCTGCAGTATGCCTGTCGCAAGACCTTGGCTGACAAGAGTGTCCAGATTCGTGGAAGATTTGCAAAGAACAATGAACCATGTGAAGATCAAGTTAGAATGAAGATGACTGATTATCCTAACAAAGCAAAAGACTTCAGCTACCATGCTGATTGTGTTTTGGACCTCCAGGTACCTATTTTTCAAGAACGCCCAAAGTTTTCATTACTACAATCTGGTAGACATTAACAGGTTTTGGACTCGCTCATATGCTCATAGCATGATATTGTTAATTAATGTTTTTTGCAGATCAAACATGATGATGAGGACTGGTTACAGGAAGCTATGGCTAGTCTTATGTATTCACCATATATTGGTGGGTGACACCATGGAGCTGTTGCAAAATGAACAACTAACGTAGGAATTGTAAAAATAATTATAGATTTTAAGCATAGATTTATAATTGGAATTAAGAAATATTGCTACTGAAATTTTGGCTGAATCAACAAATATTATAATTATGATGTGAGCAAAATAACCATGAGTGTTGTAATCTAAAATTCGAAATAAAGCATGCAAAAATAGTTAGATCATATAACATGCAATTTAAATAAATACAGAAAATGTATAAACATGCAATCTATATAAAATAAATTAATTAATTTGGAATGAACTGACCCGCGAGTCTGAGAGGCATGTGATCACTGCCTTAAAGCAACTGAGTCTCTCCACGTAAGGGTACTGATGGACACCAACGACTCCAAGATCCAACCTAGACACTCGCAGCAACACCTTTTCAATGGTCACGTTTACTAGAAGGTTGAAGTGAACCTAACTCGAATCGAGTTGCCCAAAACAAAATAATATAAGATAATAGAAAAGTAGGTAAAGTATATATGAATTGAAACAATTAATTGGAAAAAAACTAGAGGGTTTATTTCGTTGTTGTCTGCCCAAAGATATCTCCAAGTCATTTATTTAGCCACGGTGTGTTAACCTACATAGGATGGCTTTTAATGTCTTTCAATGTTTTTTGCCCTTTTTGACCGTTTGGCTTTGGCTTGTAATCTGGCTTTTCATTCTTTTTTACTATTTTCCTTGAATAGCCATAAAACTAATAATTATTATTATTCTTGAATATACACACTAAACAGGACCAAAAAATTTGCAACTGAAATTTACAATTTAAACATAATTAAAATGGAAATTTAATAAAAGTTTTAAAAACTTAATTTTATTCTTACAATCTCCCACAAGTTTTTAAAACTTCAAAGTATCTCAAATATTTTGTATATACTTTAATATAGAAAACATAGGCAACTATTATACTGTGCAATAGGTATAGGTGTCTTTCAGACTTGAACCTCACTTAGTTTTAACAGTTTTCCTCTGAAAGATTATAGTGACCAAAGGCTTGAACTAGATCCTTTGAACCAGAGTTCAGCATGTCACACACACAGTACCGATATTGGTTAAGATTCGCAGGTCAGTGCTATTAATGGTCATTCACTTGAGCTTGATTCTCATAAGAGTTACTAGAGAATAGCCCAATTCTCATAGTTGCGGCCTCACGACTACTCTCACTTAGGTGAGCCCTCCAAGAGTACATGTGCACAATACCTTGTAGGAGTGTTCCTGCTTCGGTCTTATTTAGGGTAAAATTCTTCCTTATCGTCACACTACGTATGCACTTCTGCCATAGGGATGAGCAGGAAAAATATCTCTTCTTGGATATTTCCTTAATAATAGTGCTAATGAGTCACGCAGTATGGATTGTTTCTACCCATTGAACTTCCTTCGTGGGGTTCTCAATCACAAAAGTTGGGTTACCTCCCTAGGTGACTCCCTTGTGGGCTTAAGCCCATCCCCCTCGACAGTTCTGAGACAGCTTTCCTCGAAAGTCCTTTAGTTAGTTGATCAGTTATATTTAACTCTGACTTCACAAAGTCTAGTGAGATTATGCTTTTACTGAAAACGAAGCCATGCTCCAAGGGTACCAAGTGTAACCAGATCAATATTGATGTCGTTAAAATGACTCCGATTTTACTTTGTGATCGGTAAGAGCGTTACGTTTACAAGCATTCTCAAACCCTAAATGCAATAGAAATACATAGAAGAGTACAAAAAAAATTGTTCTATTTGTTTACAATCATACTCAATTTTGCCATTTTATTCAACTCAACTCTATTCACCAAATCACGAAATTATATTTGTCATTTTTGTGGACTCCAACAATAACCATAATGTCACATTAACGGAACATTACCTCCATCTCTTGTAAACGGTACAATATTCACACAATGCTTCTACTAAACAACTAACACATTTGCACTAAATTCGACCAACATTACCACAAACCAAATGAAAGGACACAACTCCCAAGAATTCAAGTTTATTTTCCAATTGGGGCCACTGGCCATACCCATACATAATCTCTAGCCATGATGGGTGAGTGGGGACAAAAGTGGAAAGAAAAGCAACTGGCCAATGATGGTGATCTTATGCATAGATAGTAAATATTTTGGTGCTTATGCATTTGGCAAGCTGTTGATCGAAGTCAACATGAACATGCCAATGGGATATGAAAGAGCCTCCCTTAGTCCCCTATTTTCTTTTGACATTTTCTCCATGATGGGTATATATAGATAAGGAGATAGAGAAAAAAAGAGGCAAATGCGTCTCACGATCAAACATTCTTCCAATCGTAAGAAAACATTAAGTTGAAGCCAAGGCAACACCTCACATCCATGAAGGTGTCCCCATCATCACATTACGGTTGATGATCCATTCTATAAAAAGGAAACTAAATTATTTTGTAACTTTGGATACTGTGTGTTTTTGGTGTATATAGTGTGAGTAGAACGGAACTCAAACAACTATTGTAGTCCCTTCGGGGACATCCGATAAAATTAAAACGATATAGAGAAGATTAACAATTTTCTGCAACGAAATTGTAACATGAGCTAGTGAGGTCCTTGTCAATGCATTGTGATAGCTATTACAGTTAGAACCAGGAGCTAGGCACCAAATGTGAGAATATACACAAGTGCTAGCTAGTGTTCTTTTGAAGTGACGGAGGGTTATGTTTTTAGTGGGATATATCAAAGCATACAATTTTAAGACTTCAATTATTTCAACTGTTGCTTCAATGGGATACCAAACAAAGTCCAAACTTCAATCATCCCAAAAGATTTGTCAGCAATAACAGATTGATCATGCAACCAATTGTGATCCACAAAGCCAGTGAGAAGCAACCATTGCCACAACTGTAACCTGGGGTCCCATCCCATGGTTTTGCATGATTGACCATTTTTATCATTTGAAGTTCATATATATATATATATATGGAAATCTAAGGATGATAGGTTGAAGTTGAAACCAAGTGATGATAGTATTGTTTGCAACTGTTGCTTCTTTTTTAGTGAGGTTACATGTTCATGGCACTCTGTGTTTCCTTTCATCGTAGTCAAGACAAATACTAAAACATGCATGATACATATTAACATTAGTGCAATGCTACATAGGCTTAAAATATTAATTTAATTTGTTGACTTAATGGACTATAAAAAAAAAAGAAATCTTTCAAATAACTGAATTGAATTCAAAGAGAAATGTAAAAATCAAATTCAGATTGAAGTTTTTAAATTGTAATAAAATTTAACCGTTGAAGACCTAATTAATTTTGTTATCAAAACTGGACGAGTTTCAATGATTATGGTTCGATTATTCTTTTCAATTTGATGGTTGTCTTAATTGTGAAGAAATCTTGACTCCGTCCCTGGAATGCAAATGGGTCTAGGGAGCATTAGCATTTTTAAATTCTTAGATTGAATAAATAAGTCAGGCTATAAACAAATCCTTTAGGATGAAAAATGGTGGAACAGTTAGTCTTTATGAAAGAAGTTTATCAGTGGAAGGCAATTGGCTTGGGGATATGCATAACAGAAGAGAGTTTTTTGCAATATAAAAGAAAAGATCAAATATGTTAAGTATCTGTTTTTCTTTCTCCCTTCTTCTTGGCATCCCATAATGCATAGCGGGGTTTGGAGAAGTAAGTGGTTAATATATTAAACCAATACCAAATTTTTATCCTTTGATACATGGATTGACATAAGAGAATAGATTTATTACAGGAATTTTAAATTAGTTATGGTTTCCAATGTACGACAAGCGCCACCATTGAAGGATCAGTGAAGAAAAAATCAGGTAACAGTAACACAAACACATCATAATTTGGTTTATTAGGCAGCTATGAGTTTTGACTTAGATCCATGCCAAGTACTCCATCTAAGTTTCAAAATAATGATTTCATACCTAAAAAGGAAGTTCAAGGCGAGCATGCATCAGTGATGGCATATGAAGCACAAATACACGATACAGGCATGAGCAGATATGAACTGATCTTCATTCAATTTAACCTATTTATAGTGCAATAGATGATATAATATGTACTAAACAATCTAAATTAATAACAACATTAACTCCATAATTTAGGCTTGCCACTTGACAAGTCATCCAAAATACCAAATAAATACCAATCCATCTAAATTGGTCTCTTCCTTTGACTTCCTGAATATGTCCAATCTTAAAGAATTTTGTAGCGACATGTTTTAAGAGTGGCTTGTGCAATAAGATATTGACTAGCTCAGCCATTTAGAGGTAAAGATCATAAATGCCATACAACGCAAGCAAGTTCTGGTGTACCTGCCCTTGAATGCCCATTTGCATTGCAACAATGGGGTCTAAAATTACCCCACGAATTGGGCACCCCATAAGGTATGCGGCAAAGATATATAAGAGAATATCAATAGGGCACAGGTCAGAATAAGGGTTATATGCCCCTGAGCTGAGTTGCAAGTGTATAATCGATGCTTGACAAAATGGATGTTTTTGAATTTCTTCTATAAACGAAAGGAACAGTGAGAGTGTGCAAACTGTCCAGATCTCGTGTTTGAAAACCCGAGAGTGGTCCCTAACTTGTGATCACAGAATATCAATTTGTAGACCTATTATTACAATATTATTCATGGGCATAGAAATTAAAGATCTAATTTTGCCAATTTATAATTCTAATGGTAAAGAAAGTTGCAGATATTCAAAGAAACAGTGCTCACCAGTAAGAAGATGGCCTGCATCATGCACAAGAATTCGATGTTTATATGGAGGCCAGTAACTTGAGATTTGAGCCAAACATGATCCACCAAGGAATATTGAGTCTATCATGGCTAATCCCAATGTAGCTACTAGGTTTGGCCTGATATCTATTCCTTGATTAAGCAAAAATGACACCCTAGCAAGTAAACCAACCAAAACGACCCTAGAGCTTCCAGAAAGACCCCACTTCTATGGTGAAAGTTTAGAAACTGGGCCACAGAAAAACAATA